ACCCACCAGCCACTCCTCGGGTGGAAGATGGGGCAATCTACTTCCGTAGTGATACTGCCTCGGAAACCCAAGGAGGGGTCACTATGAGTCGGGTCTGACTTGATGGCAAACAACAACAAAACATGGCAGGCTGAGTTGTAGTGATTGAATGTTAATTTTATTTTACATTTTTTCATTTGAGTGGCTTTGAATGGCACATTTAATTTAAAATTATCATTCAATTTCATATTAAGGCTAAAGATGCTTCTTTTTGTTCTCTACTCATGACTTTTACTAGGTATGAATTTCAGCCCTTTATTTCCTCCTAATTTGGGAGATCTTTCTCAGAATATTTCTGCACCCTCTGAGCAGCAACCAATAATCCAGAATCCTTCAGGGAAAACAGAATATATGGCTTTTCCAAAACCTTTTGAAAGCAGTTCTTCTATTGGAGCAGATAAACAAAGGTACTTGATTGTGAACATAAGCCAGAATTTATTTTAAAATTACTTTTGTGATTGCATATAATTTGACAACTACTCAATTAAGATGTGAGTAATTGGCTTGTTAGTGTTGGGAATGTGACACTTTTACATTTTAGTAAATGTCTCAGGCATATACCTGTTGATCACCATAGTACAAGACCAGTCCATTGTTTTGGTCTAGTTTGTCTTACGAAATTCATTTTGGAAGAGTATATCCTGACCCATAGGGTTTCTTTTGAAATTGATTTGAAATCTCTCTTTAAGGTCACTAATTATTGACTTGGAGGTAGAAAGTGACTAATAATAACGTTAGAGAATAGATGTTGTTGAGTGATGGCCCCTTTATTTGATTCATAGCCCCTGATAAGAATCAGTTCAGAAAGCCCATCCAAATATAATGTTAAGTACTATTAGATTATTTAAAACAACTTTAGCCTGAGAAGTTTTAGTGATTCTTAGTATCAATCGTAGTTAAGATTTTTTTTTTTTCTCTCCAATTCTCACACTTATTTTTTTTTAATGATTATCTTCTTAAATACCATTTTTGGCTAAAATAGTATGAAAGACAGTTGGATTGACTCAGATCAAGAATTTGTTAGACATTTTTATAGCTACGTGATTTTTTAAAAATTTTAAATGATTTATTAGTATAAATTCAGAAAATGATTTTGATAGTCATCTGGTGAAAATATAGCCATTTTAGTACTGTTATTTACTTCAGAGTAAACTTTTTCAGAGAAGAATGAATAATTAGAGGTGAACTGGGTCTAATATTTATTCTATTTGTCAAAAATGTATCTCTGATTTTGCTTTTTCGAGCCCTTTGAAGTACATAATTCACGTTATATTTCAATTAGTTTTATGATTAGGCATGCCTCAGGTTCCTAAATTAGCCTTTTGACCCTTTAATTGTAAGTCATGAACTTTTGGAGGATTTTTACTAAGTAGTAACTCTTGAAATTCAACTTTATATTTGCCTCTAGGATTGACCTTCCTGACTTTGTTAACTGTTTTCCCTCAGCTGTCCTCAGTACTTTCTCCTATTGAATCTTGTATTGTGCTATAAAAATATTCCATCATAATGCCCTAACACAGTGTTTATGCACAGTTGTCATTCAAAAATGATGTTTGAATGAATCTCTTCCAAGCAATAAAAGCTTATTCAAAGTGGTGGCGTAGTGGTTAAAGCATTCGCTGCTAACCAAAAAAAAGGTCAGTGGTTCAAACCCACCAGCCTCTGTGGGAGGAAGATGAAGCAGTCTACTTCCATAAAGATTAATAGCCTTGGAAACCCTATCAGACAGTTCTAGTCTATCCTGTAGGTTCGCTATGAGTCAAAATCAACTTGATAGCACTGGGTTTGGTTTTAGTTCACTCCACAGGCCTTTCTACAGGGAAGTCTGTACTTTATTATTGTCTCTATTATGTATGTAATTGATAGTAAATTATTCTGATTCTGCATTTTTAAGACAGATCTGGATATCTAATATTATTTTAGATATTTGACCTACTGCAGATTAGACTTTATCTCCTCCCAAATCTCAATTATCATAGATTTACTGAATAAATGTCTGGTGCTAAAAAGAAATAGGGAGCTCTGGTAGCACAGTGCCTGAGGCACTTGACTACTAACCAGAAGGCTGGTGGTTCAAACCCACCAGCCACTCCTCAGAAGAAAGGTTGGGCAATCTACTTCTGTAGTGAATACTGCCTTGACAACCCAAGGAGGGGTCACTATGAGTTGGATCTGACTCGAGGGCACATAACAACAACAACAAAAAGAAATTGGTTGAAGCATCATTGTCTTGATCAAAGATTAGCAAACTTTTCCTGTAAAGGGCAAATTAGTAAATATTTTAGGTTTTGCAGGCTGTACAGTCTCTGTTGTAACCATTCAGCTCTGGTATGTTAGCACAAAAGTAGTCATAGACCATACACATAAACCAATGAGTGGGGCCTGCGTTCGAACAATACTTTATGTAGACAGTGAGATTTGAATTTTATAAAATCTCATGTCACGAACTATTATTTTAATTCTTTTCAACCCTTTAAAAATATAAAAGTCATTCTTAGCTCACAGGCCATACAAAAGCAGGCAGCAGGCTGAATTTGCCTTGCTGGCTGTAGTTTATTGACCCTTGTCTTGAGGTAGGTATAAACACTAGATATTATTTCCCAACCATTGTTGTCCATATCAAGTTCTGTGGTAAAAAGCTTTAGGCATCTTGCCTACTATATTTTCCCCTGAGATGTTTATGAAGCACTTTAGCATATTAAAAGTTCTGAGAAATCCCGCGACCTGTTTAAATTTGTTTTAACTGGTTTTTTTAATGTAAACGTAGATGATAAATCAATACCTATTAGCATATTAAGGATGCCAGTATTCAGCAGGTAGAGTTTGGGAAATGACACTGAACTAACAGAACTAAACTTGACAGTGTATGGAGAAATAAATTAGTAATTGCATGGTCATTTATTTTCACTAAATTTGGGTTCTGTTGGAACTACTTAAATTGACAGAAATCCATGTATGTTCCCAAACCCTCTGCTACAACTCTATCTCCCAGCTGTTCCTCCATGTTTTGTTTTCTTTTTCTTTGTCTCTTCTTCCTTATATTTTTCCCTTCTATTCTTTTTTTATCATGGATGCTAGGTCATTTGATTTGGAACCTCCAGTGAGAATGGTTTACTGAGAATAATACAAAAATAATGTTTAATATAATTTAGTGTATTAGCCTGTGTAATATTTATATCTTTGTCACATATTTTATGAAAATATTTTTATAGTCCACTGATGATTTTATTAACCTAAATCTATTCACTAGTAAATATACATCATGTCTACCTAGAATTTTCAATAAGTATAGAAATCTATAATTGTGATTCTTAAAAACTTGTTTTTATTCATAAGGAATCAAAAACAGCCCGAAGAGGAGGTGGACAGCAATAGGCCACCATGGTTATATGACCAAGAAGGGGAAGTAGAAAAACCATTTATTAACGCTGGATTTGCAGCATCTGTAGAGAAAACTGTAAATAGTAATCGTAAAAATCACTTAGATAGTAGCAGGAGAAGACGCCAATTTGATGAAGAATCATTAGAAAGCTTTAGCAGTATGCCTGATCCAGTAGATCCAACAACAGTGACCAAAACATTCAAGACAAAAAAAGCATCTGCGCAGGCCAGCCTGGCATCTAAAGATAAAACTCCCAAATCAAAGAGTAAGAAGAGGAATACTACTCAACTGAAAAGCAGAGTTAAAAATATTGGTAAGGATTAAAATTTGTTGACTTTTGATCAGTGTAAATGTTGGTAACCCTAATCTGGCATGTTTAATTTCACTATGACTAAATGGACAGGCACTGTTCTAGCTAGACCTACTTGTACAAAGCCGTTTTTAGTTTTATTTATTTTTACAGAATTTAATTATCAAGTAGGATTTAACTTTGTAAATACTTTAAAACTTAGCATTTATTCTTTTTTATGTTGCTTATATCCATGATTTCTGTGAACTGAGAAGGTGTTCTACAAATCTTACCATTTATTATCCTTGACATCATTTTCTAGTAATACACGTTTTATTTGGTTAAGCAGTGATCTGTAATCATTCAGATGAATGTGCAAAAAGGGCATGGCAGCAGCATCCTCTGACCTCCTCTAACTTCACGAGGGGAAGACAGAATTGCCATCAGCAGCCCAAGGCTTATTCCTGTGAGGCCATACATGCAACCACCCTACAACTTTTTTTTTTTTTTAAAACCAACTCTGACATAAACTGCCCCTCCCATGGCACTCACTACTTCTCTGCTGTGTTCAGTAATTCATTGCAATGGCCACACAGAACTCACAGACAATATGCACGGTTATGGGTTTATTGGGGAAGTAACAGGCTGCAACTCAGACTCAGGAATGCTCTCAGTATACTTCAATCAGTTGCTTCAATCAGGACAGCCTCCCCTAAGCCATGCCATCAGCCATGCCTCTCTGGCCCTTGGCCTCTCGGCCTGGTCTCTGCCTTGCTTGGGCATGTGTTAAAAAAAAAATTTTTAGCTCTGCCAATAGGTGTACCCCACTCTGCCTGCAAGCCTCCTGTCCAAGGGCACTCAGCTTTGTCACTCTGTGGGTTGGCAAGCTTGCCACTCTGTCTTGTGCCTCTTGATTACTTAGCCAGGTCGTCTCAGCCAGCTGCTTCTGCCACAGACGTCCGGGTCAGAGATCTCGGGTTCAAGGACATGCTCCATTCCACCTCCAGCACTTCTCTCTTGATGGCAGTGAGAGCCCTTCTTCTGCCTCTCGGAGAGCTCATTTTAAGCCTAGCAGAATGACAAAACTAACCAGTCCCCACATTAGGGTTCCATGTACCTTATTTGCATGGTCCCACCCGGTAATCTGGTGTGAGTCACAAAGACTTGTTAGAAAACCCATACCAAGTAATTTACTGTACACAGAATGAAAATACTGTACATTGTCCCAGATTGCTCTTGATGCTATCAGAGAATACTTAAATAGATAATGGCTATTTGGGGGGAGGCCCTTTGGGTAAGTCGTAGAACTTTTTATTCCTCCTTGCCTTATCCCCACAAAAAATATGTTTTGTGTATGAGTAAATGAAGGAAAGCAAATTTTTTTATTCCAACATCTCTCTTCTCAGCTAGTTAATTTGATGTGCTAGAACTATGCTTCCTAAACTTTAATATTTCATCGGACTCTACTAAGAAATCTTATTAAAGTATAAATTTTGATTTAGCAGGTCTGCGTAAGAACCTCAGAGTCTATTTTTCTAGGAAGCCTCTATGTGTTGCAGATATTGGCCTGTGAACTACATTTGAGTAGCAAAGTCTTAGTGGGCACTTAGCCAATATATAGCCATGTCTGTGTAAATCTAAGGAACCTCTAGTAGTACAGTTGGTTAGACATTCCAGCTGTTAACCAGAAGGTCAGTGGTTCAAACTCACCTGCTGCTGTGTGGAAGGAAGATGAGGCAATCTACTTCTGTAAAGATTTACAGCCTTAGAAACCCAATGGGGGTCACTAAGAGTCAGAATTGAATTGATGGCAGTGGGTTTTTTGTTTGTTTGGTTGTTGTTTTTTTTTTTTTTTTAGTATTGTTACTACTGTTTTACTACTACCCTAGCTAGTGTTGCTCTGAAATATTATTATTAAGAACATCACCAATTCTGCTATTTTTCCTAGAGTGTCCGAGAAAGGTAATTCAGTCATACATTAGTGTCGTCACTTTGGAAATCTGTTCTGTGGTATTTTTAATTTGGAACTTACGTACAACACTATAGTTTTTCCCTTTTCACAGCATATATTTATAGCATGCCTCTCTTTATAGTTTCAGCTGAGATGGAGGGTGATTATGTGCCTTTTTTAAGTGCCTACTGGAACTTTCAGAGAATTTTATGTATGACACATAACCTTTATTTTCACTTTGATTAGAATTCATTCAGCCATTTTCATGTGATACAGTAATGAATTAAAAGCTTAATTTCATTTATGTAAATGTTCTTGTTTGAACAACATACTTTAATTTTTTTTTCTTCAGAGCTTTATGTCATTAATTAATTAAATAAGCAATAGTACTACCAGTCAAATCATTTTACATTATTACTTTTGACAATTATATTCTCAATTTCTGGACCTGTTTTTGATTGATGGACCTGTTTTATGTGAAGGTCAGTTGAATCAGGGTGGTTTTTTTTTTCTCTGTAATTTTCATGCAGAATGGATGAGAGTGGTAAGACTTTAGTCCAGAACACTAACAAAGAAAGCAGGAACCTAAATTTGAGATGATGAAGTCCTAACTTGAATTATGGCCTTTGAAGTTGTGGGAGGGTTGCATCCAAATAGGATATCATACCAAGAATACATTGACAGTATCTTGGGAACTTGTTTATTACAAAACAATTAAAAATCTAAACTCCAAAATGAAGTGAACAATTAGAAACCAAGTAGGATTATGGAAAGATATCTGTTTAAACAGGTATGCATGCAGCTGTCCTTGTCACCTCCCATCAGTTACCAACTAATACTCCTGAGCAGGGCAGCTGTTATGATCTAGAGGGTGTAGGCGGCAAGGCTTTAGATTCTGATGCCTCTTTCAGAGAGTGTCTAGGGCAAAGATAAGAGCTCCATTCTTCTTAAAGAGATTGGTTAGGGGAAATCCACACAACCCCTCCTTGGAGCTTCTCTTTCTGTCTAAGAGTAGCAGTCTTTTGCCACTTCAAAGTCCTAGTAGGCAGGTGTGCTGTTGAACAGGTAGGTGTTACCTTCCTTACCCTTCCAACTAGAAAAGCGTAAGTCTTTGCAGCTGAGAAGGAAAGAAGTGTTTTCTTACTTCTTGATGGGAGACTGACAGCTTGCCAGCTAGAATGTTATTTAACCATAGGAATGAGACTTCGAGTTCTCTCAGTTGACCCAGCACTTGGGTCCAGCCTTAAGGGTAGGTAGAGCCATGACTAGGCTATTAAATGTACATGGAAGGGACCAAGCAGCCAGAGAGAAGATACAGAAGCAAACAACACAAACAGATGACACCTAGTCAAACATAATTACTGAAGGAAAAACACAGCTTCAACAAAATAATAAGAACACTTAAACAGATATAACATAAATTATTTAGAACTACAAAAAATGAATTATACACTTAATGTTTAAATTATTTGAAAATGATGATGGATGCTAGTAAGTCCCAAATTCAAAAAACCAAATCCAATCTCAACTGCCATTAAGCCGATTCTGATTCATGGTGACCTCCACTGGGTTTCCAAGGCTGTAAATCTTTATGGAAGCAGAGACTGCCTCATCTTTCTTCCATGGAGCAGCTGATGGGTTTGAATTAACCAACTCTCGTTTAGCAACTGAATAAATACCTTAACCGCTATACCACCAAAGCTCCTTAAGTCCCAAATTAGTAGCTTCAAAATCAAAATTCTGTTCAACCCTATCAGGTTATCAAAAGAATATTGAACTGTGGCAAGAGGTTTTATTGCAGAAACATAATCATGATTCAGTATCAGGAAATATATCAACATAACTTATTATATCAACAAATTAAATTTAAAAAACACATATAATTGGAGCAGTATATCAGATAGCATTTGAAATCATTCCTAATGAAAGTTCAGAGTAAAATGGACATAAGGCAATTATTTAAATTGGCCTCAGATCACTGCTTTTGCTGTGTCCCAAAGAGTTTTGTATGGTGTTTTTTCATTCTCATTTCATTCAAGGAATTTTTTAATTTCATTTTTTATTTCTTCTCTTACCCAGTCTTTCTTAAGGAGGGTGTTGTTCAGTTTCCATGTGTTTGCTCTTTTTCCATCCTATTGTTGATTTCTAATTTGATAGCATTGTGATCTGAGAAGATGCTTTGCAGCATTTTAATATATTTAAATTTATGAAGGCTTGCTGTATGGCTTAACATATGATCTATCATGGAGAATGTTCCATGGGCACTGGAAAAGAATATATATTGTGCTGCTGTTGGGTGAAGTGCTCTGTAGATGTCTATAAGGTCAAGTTGGTGGATTGTATTGTTTAGCTCTTCTGCATCTTTGTTGAGTTTCTTTCCAGTTGTTCTGTCTTTCATTTAAAGTGATGTATTGAAGTCTCCTATGACTGTGGGAGCTCTGGTAGCATAGTGCCCAAGGCACTTGACTGCTAACCAGAAGGCTGGTGGTTCAGCGACTCCTTGGAAGGAAGATGGGGCAATCTACTTCTGTAGTGATACTGCCTCAGAAACCCAAGGAGGGGTTGCTATGAGTTGGGTCCAACTCGACGGCACATAACAACAACAACAACACTATGACTGTGGAGTCATCTGTTTGCCTTTCCAACTCTTGTAAAGTCTGATTTATGTATTTTGGGGCTCTTTCATTTGAAATGATATTTTCATTTCAAATATCCATAGATATTTATTATGGTTGCATCTTGTTCAATTGATCCTTTAATCATTATATAATGCCCTTCCTTGTCTCATATGGTGGTGGTTGTCTTAAAGTCAATTGTATCAGAAATTAATATTGCCACTCCTGCTCTTTTTTGGTTGCCATTTGCTTGATGTATCTTTTTCCAACCTTTGATTTTTTATCTATTTTTGTCTTTATCTCTAAGGTGTGTCTCTTGTAGGCAGCATATTGATGGGTTGTGTTTTCTTATCCAATCTGCAACTCTCTGTCTCTTGATTGGTGGATTTAATCCATTCACATTCATGGTAATTATTGATAAGTTTGAATTTGTTGCTGTCATTTTGTTATGTGTTTTT